CATCAAGCACACTTTAGCTGTTAAATAAGGACGGAATTCTCTACCTTTTTTAAAATAACCTATTTCAATTGTGTGTGGGTGTGGACGTGGCAATGTGATGGCCTTCTAAATTTGATATCATGAGATCCGCGAACAGCAGGGTAGATCATACCAGCCAATGCTCGTCGATAGGCGAATTACAAGATGCAATCTTCTTATCAGATAGTCTACTGGACACGATATATTCGGCAAAGACTAGTGCCAGAAAGTTTCTCTTCAATGTGCCCGAAAGTCATTTTTCATGGAAGACCAAACCGTCCATAAGATCTAACTTATATAATGAGCACGCTTTTGGCTACTACTTTAAAAATAAAAGTATGACCACTGCTTAAGTAGGCCCTTTAAGTATCGTCCTTAGCGATAAAAATTAACGTCTAATTAAATTGTTGCGTCATCGAGGCTTTAATGCAAATGAAAAAAGAAGCAAAAACGTGATGCAAGACCAATTTGATATTTTAGTTATTGGGGTGTGCAATAGATTTACCTCCAGGTGGTGCACCCTGAGCAGCGTATATTCATACGGCAAAAAAGTCTATCAATGGGCAGTTGACTTCTGACTTCAAACTGTCATGATCCCACTGTATGCCATATTCGACTACTTCCACAGTACTCACCTCACCTTTTTTCTACCTTCGTCTTCGAAGCACTCTTCTGTTCCCCCCCCCTCTCGACTTTTTTTCCACTTTGATGTTCCTCCTCCTCTCTGTGAAGCCTGAAGTCAACTAAAGGGCTAATGATAACTATCAGAACACCTGCCATTTATATAAATAAATATTTTAGTTATTTGTGCCTATTCTTCTACGACTTTCCTAGACCTTTAGTAGGAGTGCTTACAACAATCAAATAGGATGGAATGAAGTTATTTCGGAGCCGTTCATGCTGTTGATCGGACGTAGCCAACACAGGTGGCCACCACATCACCGGATGTGCACCGAGAGGACTTTTGACTTGGCAGACAGACGTTGATTATTGGGCCCTTGGTCAAAGACATTCTTAAGCAGTTTTTAGGCTACACGGACTTCATTATCTGCATCGCAATTTTTAAGTGTCTTTGTACTTGAAAAAAAGTTGTTTCCCGACCCCGTCATAGTGTTCCAATAATTCGACAACTTAAGCGTCCAAAGATCCTTATAGAAAAATCTATTTTTTTTCATACTCTAGTTTAAATGCATGGTTAATTATACTAAACATATAATCCCACTATCCGCCTCACCCAATAATCTAAAACATAATAAAATTTAAATTGTACTGCTTGCACAAGGATCAGAGACTGGTTCACTCAATTCGATATTTTCAACAGAGAAAAAAGGACATTTTTCATTTTGGACAAATTTGACGACTTTTATGCAGATAATTTGGTCTTGAAAAGGTCAAGATTCCTTCAGGAAATTAAGGGAGTGATCAATCTATTTTAATTTCCTCAAATGCCTATTTTTTCTGATCATGGAACGTTAAATAACGAGCATAGCGAAATTTAGACACACGATAAGCTGCCTTATAAAATGGTGGCTGTCGTAACGCCTGTCTGAGCAATTTTGATTAGAAAAACACACACCAATTACGATTTAGTCAAAACGTATTTTGGATCGTTGTACCTAGTTCCCAATAGTTTAAAATATTCATGAGTTGGAATAACAAAGAAGCCTGGAGATAAGGCAAGCTCGAATTTCGTTGAAATAAAGCATTTAAAAGAATCTCAACACCCCTTAGGATAGATATTACAATCTGGAGCCATCTCTAATGCGAAACTGGTATTAAGTCTCCCATCCCCCCCCCCATTAATCTCATTTAGGCAATTCAGTTGTCCACATCGTTCCCTCCATGATTCCAAATTGAGAACGAATTCATAGTCAACGATGCACACTTTGAGCACTACCTCACTGGTTCGAAGAAATACATTATTTACAAACTCAAAAATACTAAGTATATTCAG